ACGCTGAAACCACACAGAAACACACACACAGCATCCAATATCCAGCATTGATTTCAGGTTTATTTAAATGTCTACAATACATAACCAGCGGCTTACTATCACCTGATCGCATCTTGCTCTCCACTTCCTCCTCAGGGCGCGGCCATGACTGAAACATTTTGGCACCAATCTCTGATTTCAGTTTCGCGTTTCATTCCTCCCTTCAAGTCCTCCTGACAATTTCAGAATAATGAGCTAACATTAAGAGCGTACAAGACCGCGCAGCGACCTGCCCGCGTAGCGACCTGCCCGCGTAAACATGTGGTGAGCTCTGCCAGCCCTGGGTGTGTGTGAGAGTGGGAATCATCCAGGGTGTGGAGGAGCATGTATGAGGGTGATATTGATCCCAACCGAGCTGCAGGTTGTTTCTGTAGGGTGTGGTGTGCGTTTTGTGCCCCAAGGCCATCCTACACCTTCTCACGTTCTGTATATACTTGATGTTCAGTGAAGACTGAAGACCCTCAACCTCATTCCCACCTAGTGATGCAACACTAAAGACCCCCTGCATGGATGATGAATATCGTAAACAACGACGTCTTCACCCTCAGGAAATTAGAGGAAAGGTCTTCACACTATCTTAATGTTTCTGCGGCCGCTTGCAAACCCTCGGTTTCTTTATGTTGACTGTTTTTATGCGCATATGGATTTTCAGTATGGTTTTTGGAAAGAGTATTGCTGTGATCTCGCTGGCGTCTGAAGCGGAGAGCAAAAGTGTGCTGCCCGAGGCATGAGGTGTGGTTCTAAATGGCCTCGAGCTCAGAACACATGATCACATGTTGTGCAGGTGTGCTGACAAACACACAAAAGCACTAAAGCAGAGGAGCTTTGACGACTGAAAAATGAGCAAGGTATTAAAGCGAAGCCTGCACTGGTGTAGTTCTCTTTTGTTTGGCTTTTAATTTAGTTGGATAAAAGTAGTTAGTTTTGGTAATGTTTTATTTGCTACTTTTTTTTATTTGGCCAAAGCAATGTAACTAAGGTAATATATGTGTATAGTGTGCCCTTTTTACAGTTTAAAGGTCAACACGATCTGAAGGGATAATTCACTATAGAAAATTCTGTCATTTAGTAGGGATGGCTGATGTGAAACTAACGTTTCGACACAGTGTCGAGATCCAGAAGTGCAAGTGGTTTGAAACGCTGCACTGAAGCCAGATCTTAAACACCCAGGTCACTAAGGTTATTGGAAAGACCCAGGTCACGTGACTAAAGTGATTTAAAGCATTGGTCATTTCAGAAGTGTTGACTGACGTTTGACTGACAGAGTCGACAAAAAATCTCTTATCTCATGTAGCCTAGTGGACTGTGTGTGTGCAGAGTTAAAGCTCATTTATACTTCTGCTTCAAGACAGAATGTAACTACACGTTGCACTGACGCGCATCGCAAGCTCTGTAATTGGTCGGCTTGGAATCTGTGACCAGTGTGGTGGGGGACTGAGAGCCGCGCAAACCTGTTGGAGCGAGTGTTTATAAGTGTATAGTCCAATGAAATAGCTCCACATAGAAACTTTTGTTTTGTGTTTACCTTATGGTTAATGTAATTGCACGTCCACAGGTTCCCATCCCTGAATGAGCAAGTTTTAGCTACTTGTACTTTAAGCAGCGTTCAAAAAAAAAACTCACAAAGTAACTCGATACAGCGGAACGCAACATTACCTAGCTAGCGTTTTGGAAGTGTTATTGAAGAGCAACACAAACAGCATGCAGAAGTATAAATGAACGACTACGAGCAATTTCAAATACTCTGAAATTACAACTTGATGTATTGTAATAATTTTACCAAAACAAGACAAATGTATTCACAGTGTTCATTCGGATCTAAATCATTTGAAGCCTCAACTCTACAACGTGGGATTTAATACTTCAATTTGCTTAAGTGTTTGTTGCTGAAGCTGTTCCAGAGCAATACATGGAAAAAAAAACACTAGGTGTCACTGTAGATGGGTTTCAAAACTTTTCAAAGCTTCGACTGTTTCAGTGTTTAATGAAGCCTTGCTTTGCCCACTATTATTTAGTTACCCCTAACTTTGTCAAACTTTTATGAATTTCTGTCTTCTGTTAAACACAAAAGAAGATATTTTGAAGAAAGATGAAAACCTGAAATGGTTGTCTTTCATAGTGTTTGTTGAAAGTCAATAGTTACAGGTTTTCAGCTTTCTTCAAAATATCTTTTCAATAGAATAAAGAAATGCATTGTGGTTTAAAACTACTTGACGTGAGATGAAAAAGTGAGTTAAGATTTTTGGGAACTGTTTAATTCAATTTTTGATATTTTATTTTATTATTTACTATTTAAAAATGATTATTTGTTGCTTTAAGCCATTTTACTAGGCAGAGAACAAAAAGAATAAAAATCGAAATGTTGGCTGTTCAGTTGAGTTTAAAAGAAAAAAAAAAAAGCCACCTGAATAGTTCATCTCTTTACAGTCATCAGTCACAGCCTTTTCAAACATCAGTTCAATCATGGTTGACATGGCAGCTAAACAATGACCCTGACCTAATGAATTCTTTCTTCCTTCCCACAGCTTCCTGCGGGCTCCTCCGGATCAGCGACCGGTTCTACCTCATCCTCTTCATCCTCAGTCAGGCAGACCCGTCAGCGCATCACCCGGGTCAACCTCAGGGACTTGATCTTCTGCTTGGAGCAGGAGCGAACCACGGCCAGGTCCACGCTGCTCTACAAGGCCCTTTTGAAGTAGCACGCTAGCGCTAATGGTACTCCTGCTTCTCCCTCAGTAACGCGTTCAAGTCTTCCTCTCCTTCTCCGCATTCATTTCCAGTCTGTGCCTTCAGACTCACCTGTGGCATAAACTCTTTGAGTACTAGAGTGTTGCTGTAAATCTTCCAAACGTTGGTGTTCTGGGGATGAGAAGGTTCTGGAAAAGCCCGTACGGAGGCGGCTGTGGACATCATGTGATATTTCCTCCCCTCCGGGTCGCCCTTTTAATGCTTTTATTTCCCCTTTGTTTCGGATTAATGAGCCATCCTTTTTGAGCAATGTTGATCTTTTTATTCATTAACTTGGATTCGGTATGGTTTTACGTTTCAGGATAGAGACTTGTTTTAAACGGATAGCGGCTGGACGACTTGTTTTTAACGGAACGCCTCATTTGCAATAGAGACACTGGAAATGTGAATGCAAAAGCTCCTGGTTTTAAGAAGTCTAACGAGTCGGAGGTATTTTTAGTAACTTATAAGTAGCGCATCTTTAAGTCTCTGAGGGAACGGCGTCGATTTTTTTTTTTTTTTTTTGTTACTGATTTATGCAAAATGAAGAAACTCTGTGTTGTAAAACACTGACTGTCTTTCATCCTATTGGATGGTCTTTTGAACTTCAGTGACGGTTTTGTCTCGCACACTCAGTGTGGGGTTCTAGGTGTGTACGGTTTCACTAGTGTCTGTGTTAAGTATACTGTGAAATGGTGCCTTATGTGGCCCTCCTGGGGCACCATTGTTTTTAAGCAAATCCACGGCATGGAATTCTCCAATATGCTAATACTAATATGCATCGCTTCAACAACGATTCTAGAGCAGGATCTCTCGTAACTTATTTGTGGAGAAATGGCAGTTTGTACGTTTCGTTAATTTGACCATTTTGTTTTTTAATTAAGTACATTAAAAATGGGGTGGCTTTGACAGACTGCAGTAATGATTTTAAAATACTAATGTTGCATTTTGAATCCTGTATTTTTGTGTTTTGAAATTCATGTTGGCTATAAATTTAGTATCGGTCATCGGGCATTATTTTATGTCTCAAGTATTTGTATACTGCCCTTTATGACATGCAGTAGGAGAGGAAGAGACATTGACATTTACGTTTTGGCGTTTGTACAGAGATGTATGTTGGGAGATGGTCAGCGTTCATGTCACGTGCAATGATTCCTTTGAATCTTTTTCCATCTCTTCGACTGCTTTTAATCCGTATTGTTTGTGCTGGCGTTCGGACAAACAGTATTGCTGATCAAGGGATTGTCTTTTGTCTAAAAAAAAACATATCTATTAGAATTTCTATTTTTGCTAAATTTAACAATTTTTTGAATGTTTGGTTGGTTTGGAAAAAAGTGCTCATCTCTATTAAATTTGTACTTTTGTAAAAGAATAAAGTTCCTAATTATACTTTGGTTGCGACTTTCATGATATCTCATATGCCAGATTCAGACTCAAAAATTTTTTGTAACTTTTTTTTTTTTTTTTTGTATCATGAAAAAGAAACATGTCAGACTGGTCAAACCAGAATCAAACGTGAACGAACAGTGGGCTACTAAAACGATATCTTAATAACTCTGTTGTATCGCTTCTGTGCTCCTATTGGTCAATGACACGTCATGATAAACATGGCATTATTTATAATAACAAGTTTAGTCATCATCCTCTATGATGACACTCTATACAAGTGTCTTTTATCCCATAAATGTTGTTTTTAAAATAACATGACACTCTACATCAAACAGATCCTGCCAAAATTGTTGTAGTAGTCTGAAATTGGCATAATATTGACGCAGGTCAAAACTGTTGTACTGTGTTTAATGTAATGTTTAATTGAATGTTATTGCACTTGATTTACCAAAAAAATGTGGCCTGATTCCTGGAACAGATATTTTTCTTCTGACAGTGAACGGCAGACTCATACAGGTAAGGATCTTAAAATCTTTCCTCTTTTTTTAGTTTTATCATTGTTTGAGTTTTTGACGTCAAATGAAAATTCACCCAATTTCCTAAATGCATGTTATTGGTAATTTATCCATACATTACGTTTTTTAGATCCACTCTATACATTTAGCAACCAATACACAGAACTACATCTCCACCCATTTATTTTTCTTAATAATATTTCATGCTATGTCCCTGCTTTTTTCATAATATGTTACTACCCTAAAACTCTACTTTAGGCAGCAGAAATGTTGGCAGAATTTTCTTCTGTGTCATTTGTATCAACACATTCACATGCATGTTGTAAGCGGTTTAAAATAGGGGAAGAACTTCAACAATTTATTAAAAGTTCATTTATCAACACTGATTACAAAAAGAATGTGACAATTCGAATAAACACATGCCTGACATACCACTATGATTCATATCAATAATAATCCATTACAAAAAAAAGTTTTATTTAAATAATATACATTTGGACCGTACTGCAATATACATCTTGACACAACATCCATTAGAGCAGTATTTAAATTAAAGATTTAGGTAACATCTTCTCTGACCATCAATGCGCTGGAGACAAGATCGTCTTTGTAAATTGTCCATGAAATCAAAACCCAAAATGACAGTTGCACGGCAGCGAAATGCATTCAGGAGGACCTGTGAAGCGTCTGTGAGCCTTTATGTACAATGTTTGAAAAACTGAACACGTAGCAGGAAAAAAAAAAGTTGGCCATTTAAGACAACCAAATAGCATAACAAAATATCCATGACCCTTCCTTTTGAAATGACAAGGCCGAGAGCCTTAAAAAGCCATCTTATTAACTGTGTCTTTTTACAACACATTATGCAATTCAGTCTGTTTACAAGCCTGCCGAGTTAACCTTTCAAGTTTATTCTCCCTCAGTCTCTCTCCAAGTGGCTCTGATTGCGTTGTTTTGCTAAGGGAGAGTGAGCAAAAGAGATTGTGGGAAAGTGACCTTAACTCCTGGAGAGACGTCTGACCCGTAGCCCCTCAGTCTCCAGGCCTCAAGGGGGCACAGTAATCCCCTTCATCTCCGGTCCAAGCAGTGCCCCCTGAAAGTGCTGCATTCATTAACTATCTGACTAATCTCATTGCTTTCATCAAACAAGTTGTCTTGGACGCACACGTCATTTAATTTGTAACACAGACCAACTTGTAGGAGCTGTCTATGCAACTGATTCTGCCGTCTTAAGCCCACTGTTAATGTCTCCTCTAATTTTAAAACCACTGGTTCAAATTCTACTTTGAGCAGGAGAGTAGAAACAAAGGGGTTATGTTGGTGCCGTGACCCAGATGTGTTTTTGGGGGCACTGTAACAGTGGTGAACTAGAAGGAGCTGTGTGATTAGACTTACTTTCCTTGCTTCAAGAGACCCCACTTGTTACTCTTGCCACTTACCAAGATAAAAATGCTGGTTCAGTCTCACCTGGACTAGTAGATTTGAAGCAGAGGAGTAATAGTGGTGCCGTGACCCAGATGGGAATGAGGTTTGAGGAAGTAATTGAAATCAACTTTACTCCTTTGATCTCCAGAGATGAACAAAGATGCTAAAAACCAGCAAGTCGCTAGTTAGTGTAGAGAAACACTGGTTTGGATCTAGCTCGGGGCAGGGGGAGCATGTGGGACCAAAGGATTTACATATCTAAAGATATTTGCTTGTAATTGTTCACTTAAATCTTATATAATCACTGGTATTAACTGGTACATTCAGGGCTAGTCGTGAAAACAAAATGGGCACCCAAAAGAAAGTTGCCATCAGAAAAGCTCTTCCATATGAGTCCAGGTTTCCCTTTAGACATGCTCGAATAAAAAGCCTCTTTGCCCAGCACTGAATGCATTAGCAGACTGTCCGCTGTAGCCTCAAGTCAAAGCCTCTACACGGCCAACTCCAGACCGCACTTACAACCAAATGACTTCTGAGAACTGCTCTCATATCCTTCATGTAGCGAGACAACAGCAATAAACCTGTAGGTCATAAAAGAACTGATTTACATAGATGAGACTGGAAAATGAGAACATTAGATATCGAGATTAAAAATGGATCAGAGTACAGACTTTGTATTTCGTAGTTAATTTTGCCCCAGAGCTTGGAGATCTGACTGGTGCATCATTTGAAAGTGTTCTAGCTGGAAGGTGAATTTGCCACAAACACAACTTCCTTGTAGAGTTCCTCTTTTTGCGCGCACAAACAACGGCGGAGTTATGACATGGTTCTTCTGTACTGTGGAAATAGAGATCAGTGAATGCATTTTTCATGACTGGAGCCGGAAAGTTCAACTCGAGGTCAGTAGCTGAAAAGCCATCCTGTGACTCGCTTGGATTTGTAAAGCATCTGTTGAAGGAGATTTGGGATCTTGGATGAAATTACTCGTACATTTACTAAGATTTCAGTCCTCTTTGAGTCCAAAGAGTTGAAGCAAACTTTTTCTGGCAAATTAAGTCTTCTGTTTGTCTGCTGACATTTTTTTTTTTTTTCGAAAGCAGACTGAGGTGTTCATGGTTGGTGCCAAAGCTGGCTAGTCCAGAGGCTCCTGTTTTATCCTGATGGGTGTGTGGCTGGTCTGACACCGTCTGTCCTCCCGACTCAGGATGTACTCGCTGAACTGGGAGGAATCCACGCCTCCGCCGCATGACGCCACCATGCTGAAGCCTTTCTGAAACAGTCTCTCCAGGACCTAGGACAAACCAAGGAAAAATTTATGGATACTGTTATGACTACAAAAATGAGAATCTCAGTACTTTAAATAGTTGAACCATGGCATCAACAACACAAACACTCTTTATGCTACCGTATCACCACATCATAATGTTCCTTCAAGACAAATCTCAAACCCCAAAACCTTGAAACCCTCTCTCCAGAAGATATTTTGATATTATGTTCACATTAAGGATTAAATCCATTTACTCAACTCCATCAGCATTTCGCTTGATTGTGGGAAAAGGGCACAGCCCTTTTGCAAGAGTTTCTCCAGGACCTAAGAGAAACCAGGATTGTTTTTCATTATCTTGAGATTTTTTTTCTTTTTTATAACTTCTACTAATGCTAATATTATCGTTTCTTTTAATTGCTTCAAGGTGGCGCGAGACTAAACTTGTTTGGCCTCTCAAGGACCTGAGGAAAACTACAGGACTTTTGACAACAGTTTGAATTAAATTAAACAATTTATCCTGTCCTGTTAATCATTACATAACCACGTCAAGATGGAAACTATTTTCGACATAAAATAAATCTTGAGTATTTTTAAGATAGCATTTTCTAAAAAACAAACATGTTAATATATTAGTAAAATTTCATTAAGATGCCACAAGGACTAAACTCTTTCGTAAAGGACCCTAAGAAAAACCAAGGGATTTTTTGCAATATTATTCCCTAAAAAAACACCAAAGCCTTATTTAGGCTACTCTATACATAATTACATCAAGATACCAAACTAATTAAATCAGGATAGCAACAGTCTATTCAGTACCTACATGCAACCAGGGAAATTTATATACAGTTTCTTATATTTTAAGATCATTTTTTCATCAAGTAAACTCATGCTACTCTAATCACACCTCAATTAATTGTATCAAGACAGCACAAGACCAAACCCTTTTAATCTCTCCAGCATCAAAGAGAAACTAGAGGACTTTATGGACTTTATTTTCAGGTCAACATTTTATGCTCCTTTTTGCATCTCCATCAAATTATCAACCTAAGTACACCAAGATTACACTTGTATAAATGGCACACTTTTCCAACAAGAAAAAGGTCTCGAAGCAGGGGACACATTTTTCACTAATCTTGTCTCCATCTCAGAGATGCCCAAAGTTGGCCCGTTGTTACCTTTGATTTGGCCCACCATCTCATCTGAGAGGAGAAGTGAGTATGATAGAGACAAACACCTTTAACAGAAAGATCTTCATTTCTAATTTGATGTAATTTTGTTTGTTTGTTTTATTGCTGAGCTACAAAAAAAGCAAACTGAAATTAAAAATTTCGGCAAAATATTGTAAATGAATCTAATTTTTTTTAAAATGTAAATACTGTCTCTCGACGGATAGAGGACTATGCAGAAGACGTCGGCAAACAAACCAAGGCAAAAACAAGTGTATTTCTGTTATAAATGAAATTGTTTTTATTGTAATATGTACATTGTTAAATTTAATCAAAACCTCTATTGTTAATATCAAGCAATGTTTTTTAGTCATTTCTAAACTGATAAATAAACTAAGAAATTACCCAACTATATTTACCTTCGGCCCACTAGCCTCCATCAAGTTTGGTTTTTGGCCCCTCACAAGAACTAGTTTGGGCACCCCTGCTCTATCTGCACTTCATCTTACTGCATCAAGACAACACTTAAATGGCCTCTCCAGAACCTGAGAGAAACCAGCAGTGTTTGTCAGTGAGCAAGTTTTCCGTCAAATATGAAAAACTCGGTCCAAGTTTCTATTTTTTTTCCAAGTAAACTCCTATTTATGCCACTCTATCAGCACTTCACATAGTTGCATCAAGACGCATTTAAAATGTGCAATCTCAGTAACAGTGCTATCAACAACTTCACGCTTGCATTACCCCTCAGACGTTTCTCACTCCAGACCATCCACGCGGGATGAGAAGGAGCGAGCAGACATCCCCTGGGCTGTTTACAGGGGTTTGATGCAGAGTCAAATGAGAATAGGCTCCCCCACTGACAGCCCACACTGAAGCCGCCCGACTCTTTCATTACGAACCCAATACACACAATCTCAGCTACTGTCAGAGATCCCTCACCGAGAGCCGTCTCTGGGCGGCCGCTGTCACTGTCATTCCCGCCGCCATCGCCGCAAAAAGCCAACGAAATGTTTTATCTGTTGGAGCGCTTGTAGATTTTTTTGAAATTCAATACATGCAGCCTTGAGTATTCACTTACTCCTGCACTTCTTTCAAGTGTGCTTCACATGAAAATGAAAGTTCTGGCTCGGGGCTACAGAGACAGATAAAAGTCCCTCCGCAAAAAAAAAAAAAAGGAGAGAGAAGACGAAGGAATTAGTTGAACTGCGCAGGGCCTGAGAAAAAAATGTCCACCCTTATCCTCACTTTGGAAGTTGAGACTGCAGAGAAACTTGTAGAGGAAATGAACACTTCTTATGACTTACGTACAGATGAGGTATGAAAGACATCCGCAGATGATTCAAGGGCCTACCCTGCACAAAGAAAGATTGCGTCTTGGTGCATCTTTTCAAGAACACGTATCTCCGTTAAGACGCATGGTAGCTTTTGGTTGCATCAGTGTTACAGAAGCAACTTTTAATACGAGAATCGTTCAACTTTGAAGTTCTTCATCTTATGTGATTTTGTAACTTTTTTTCCCAGTTGGATTATATTTAAACATCCTCACCCTTGAAGAAAAGAAGATATTTTGAAAAACTCTGTGTTCCTGAGGTGTCCGCTAATGCCAAGTTTAGACTGCAGGATTTTCAAAGTAGACATGTCAAAGATGTTTTCACACTGCGTGACTATCTGGGCTAGCGTTTTGTCGCTGCTTTTTTTACACTGCAAGATGGATCGGCGACAGGGGGTTTCACACTGTATGGCTTTACAATAGGAAGAATCGCCAACAACTTTCTCAGTCCGCAAACTAGCCTACGTCTCTCACAACCAAACACACGTGAAAAGCGTCATGAAAACAACACAATGTCACATAGAATATCTTTTGTTACTAACTACAAATTGAGAAAGAAGCCTTTAGTGGAGTAGAAAATGTACCTCACCTGGCCTTTGAAAGGGAATTGGGAATCTCTCAACTTTATTCAGATAAAAATAGTTCAGATAACATGTCAAACCCACATGGGTGCTCCTGCCAGATTTACATTAGTTTTTCTTCCATTTCTTTGGTCCAAATAGCCAGATAAGAGACCCTTTTAACGTTTCCCGCTGGCCTGTAGATACCCACACTAGTGGATGCCACTCTCATTGGCTGTAGGTAATCGCAGAAGTTATTTTCAGTCAGAACTCATTTATTACAGTATGGTTTTGTATTGCAGACAGATTCAGATATTTATGACTGGTGTTAGCGACTCATGTGCGATTCTCTCAGATGGCATCTGATTGTTACTCATGTGAATGAGCACAGATTTACCTTTGATTTTAGGCTTTTGTCTGCGATTTCTAAAAAATTGTTGCCAATTTCTCTAAAACCACGGCGAGTCAAAATCTGGGCTAAAATTATCCAGTCTGAACTCGGCAGAACCCACTTTTAAGACCCCAACTGGCTTCCATTCCAAGTACTGTGTGTTTGAGTTAACAAACGTAAATTCTTGGCCGACTATTTGTTTAATTTGTATTTAATCCAAGTAGTTAATAAGATACATCCTTTTCGAGAGCTGTTAGTAAAGCCATTTGAATAAATGTGTGTGTGTGTACATATCTATATATATATATATATATATATATATATATATATATATATATATATATATATATATATAGATATATATGGTGTCACAAGCCTCTCAAGTATTCATGCGTTGATAACTGAAGGCTTATGATTTTGACATTACACTCACTGCGCTGATGGTTGCATCACTTACTAACTTTCTTACAGTAAACGGCTACAATTTCTTGGCAACAAAGTCTCTCTCTCGCTCTCTCTCTCTCTCTCTCTCTCTCTCTCTCTCTCTCTCTCTTTCTCTCTCTCTCTCTCTTCTGTCTTTTTCCATATCTCTCGTCCTCTGTCATTTCCCTCTGATCTACCTTCTCATATTTCATAGGTGGGTTTTCTTAAACACCCAAGATGTGCGACAAAGACACCCCTTTAAAATGATTTAGTGTGCGAAAGTGTGAGGGGAAAAAAAGGTGTCATCAGACACACTAATTAGTTATACAGCAAGTCAATTAGGCGTGTGTAAAAAAGTAGCGTAAACCAGTTTAGGTTGTTCAAAGAAACCAAAGTACAGTATTAAAAATGTAGCATGTGTGTTTAAAACGCTCGAGGCGCAGAAATGTTGGAGCACTTTTTCAAACGGAGAGATTTGTCTTAAGGATGAGTTAAAAATAAATTATGCATATCATTTCCCTCTCTTCTCCTCGGTTTCATGACTACATATTCCCCACATTAGCATTGCCTCCAGGATTCTAGGTACCGGACATTATAAAAATGCGCTAGGATGTGTGACTTGTTTTAGCGCCTCTAAACTGTGGCGCATGTAAGAAGATGGAATGGGGCAGAACTGCATCTTCACTGCTGTGGAGCTACACCTTTATCCACACCTGCCTATCACATCTTTCACCCTCTCTGCTTGTTGGCAGGCAGCAGGCAATCTGCTTCCAAGGCACATCAGCACAGCATGCTCGATATCAAAAGTCCATGTTTAAACTTTAAAGTTGATGCTGAGCTCATTAATGCGGCAAAATAGGTGAGGCTATTTTTGCCTGGTATTAAGCCTCATTCACACTACACCTATAGCTCTCGGTGGCGACCTGCTGCAAACACAGGTCTGCGTAGGTAACAGCATGGAGAATACAACCGGCCTCTCTACGTCTGAGCTCTACTGGTGCTCCCATTGGCTGTCGCTCAAGAAAGTAGCTCTTCATTTGCATAAAGTTGAAGAAACGCCCACCTGGACCTCAACTGTCGCTTTCGTAGACAAAGGGTCGCCGGAAGTCTCTCACTCTCCTTTGAGATGAACGGTCAATTGTTCCGTTGCTTTGCCGCTACGAGGCGCTCGTAATGTGAATGAGGCTTTACTTTATTTCCAGTGACGTGATTATAAATCACCCAATCGCATATCCTCACACACATGCTATGTGTTGTTCGGGCAGTAGATGGAGAGACGGTGCTCTTTTGTAGCTGTTTCAACAAATTCTACCACATGAGGGTAACAATGGCAATCCAGTCATAGAAGTTTTGTCTACAGTACCTTTGGAAGTGATCAAAAATGAACATTTTAGAGCCTTTACAACTTCATTAAGCCACAGTCATGCTGAATTCATATGCATGCGAAACGCAATTCTCATAGGACATGTGAAACTTCTAAAGTTCCAGCTTGGTGAACTGTGGTCAATTTCCATCACTTTAGTGTGTAAGACCAAAAATATGAAATAGACATCAGAAATATTGAGCAATCACTCATTTTAGCAGTGTCACATCATCTTGTTTTATCCAGCACTTTCGTTTTATCCAACCGAATTTCGTATACTCAGACTCTAGTATGTAACTCAAAGATAATTCAGCTTTGTATTTATACAATACAAATTGAGTAGTTACTGTCATGTGATGTGCGTTTGACAGGAAGGACTGTACCTCGCATGTTTTAATACAGATTACAAAACCAAAAAACTTTTGTTTTCAAGTGTTTGTTCATTTAAAAGCACAGATTTAAAGCTTCATTTCGATATATTACTCATGTCTGTGAATCAAGTATTTACTGAGATTTCAGTGTCTTTGTTGATCACAAAAACTATTGTAAAAGCAAATGTCTGGTCCAAGCTTTTCCCCTGCAGAAACGGCAGTCTATATTGATCTCTGATTGGCTCCCGTACAAGAGTTGGGGTTTCATTTGACATATTGACTCTTACACTTTTCCCCATTCAAAACTATACCAGTGACATGTCTTGTGTATTCTGTAGTCTTTGTTAGTAGTTATAAAGTATGATCTTATTCTACTCAAAACCTAAGCCAAACTTCTACTTTACTTACTATTAATAAACAGCTAATTAGTAGTTAATTAAGCTAGTAGTGTTAGTTAATGGTTTAATACCTTAAATTGCGACCTAAACCAAAGTGTTACCATATTTCTTTGACCCATGCAATAGTTAAAAGTTAGATTATTAAAAAAGTATTGTTTTTATTAAGAAATAATGCATTCATTTGATCTAAAGTGATACAAAATACTTTCATTTTAAATAACGCTTTTCAAATTTTTTACTATTGATTTTAAGAAGAAATGTTTCTTGTGCATCAAATCAGCATATGTGACCCTGGACCACAAAAAACTAGTCACAAGTGTTTTTTTTTATTTATTTTTTTACAGTTAATACATAAAATTTGATTGATGTATTTTCTGAAAGTTGAATAAATACTGTTTTATGTTTGGTTTAGAAGGACTATGTTTGACTAGGATATTTTGAATCAGCATGCATATTACTAATTAAAATTTTTTATAAATTTAATCAATAACATTTTGGACATTGATTAAATTTACAGATGAAATAAAAAATATAATCAAATAAATACAGATTACTTTTCAGATAATCTTAATACAAAATTGAGATTGAAAAGGAACTGATAATCAGATACTGCTGTTACTAACTGACATTGCTTTACCTGCACAGAGTTGAGCCTGCAGTAGCCATTCAGTGGGAAGCGAATAACATGGGTCGGGTCCTGGTTCCAGCCGGCGTTGACTGAATTGCACATGACGTCTCCTGTCTCTGGGAAAATCTCCTCTATAAGAGACTTGTCTCCACTGACAGCAATCCTCTCGCCCAGGTCAGGAGTCACCCGCACCACCAGGCACTCGCAGGGCTGAGCCGACCGCCGCTGCTCCCGCTCCTGCTTCCAGCGCTCTAGCTCTTTCACCATGGGCGTCAGCTGGTAATAGCGAGCCTCCTCGTACAGCAGCTGGAACTCCTGCAGGAACAGCATATGTAAGTCAATGTGGGATTGAAAAAAAGTATGGAGGGATGAATGAATGAACATGAAAAACAAACACAACTCGTCCAGCAAATCGGTCAATGATTAAATGAATGTACGAGATATTACAATGCAGAACAATGTGAATGAATGAGCAGTCTTCAACTTAAATTCATAAGAAATTAAATAACACCCTAAGAAAATTAAGGAACGCTCAAAACAACTTTGGAAACAAATCAGCAAATAAATGCACAAGCAAATTTTTGAATGAGTAAGCAGGGTGAAAACTGTATTATAAATATCGGACTAAAAAAACAACTCAAGTGAGCGATTGAGTGAACAAACTAACAATTGCGAATAAAACAACTGAATAGACAAGCAAATAATCAAGTGAATTACAAACAAACAAGCATCCACCATGTGAGTAAACATTTTTTTGTATTTTAATTTATTTATTTATTTTGCTCATGGTAATTGGTCGAAACCGAGTACCGATTCTGATGCTTCAAGCTTTATATAACTGTACCATTGCATAAAGCACCTATTTCATTCAAGTATGATACTTACTGTAGGTAAGTAACCTAAGCTAAGAGGGTGTTTAATCCTAACCTAAGAGAACCTAAATTAAGAATGTTGCATATAATTCCTTAAACATTTATCTTATAACCGTTTAGTGTAAACACAACATCATGGTCAGACGCAGCTTTACAAAAAAAAACAAAACAAAAAAAAAACATCAAAACGTTTTATAAGAAAAAAATGCGCACCTATAAATCCATTACTTATTTACTAAAATGAAATGGGTCAATTCAAGTATATAGAGGTTATAAAACCTTATAGAAGTTATAAAAAAATACATTATATAATTTTATACATTAATTTTATACATTAATAACATTATATATAATATATAATAACATTATATAATAACAATATATAATAACATTATATACATCGTATAATTATATATACATTATATATTATATACGTTTTTATTTTGTATGTTTCCAGTTAGGTTATAGTGAACTTGCAATGTTGTGAAAAACATAAAACTTCCTCATAAGCAATCGCACTTGTGATCGGTTCATGAGATTGGCCAGATCAGCAAAAACCATCTAAGTCATGAATTGTGATTATCGGCTGATACCCATCTTCGGCCGATCTATTGGAGCATCCCTTTGGCACAGACCACAGAAATTTGAGTAAGCAAACAAACTACAGAGTAAACAAACTTGTGAATAAATTAAAGAAAAAGGAAAAAAGTTTGAGCACAAGCAAATGGACAAACATAACAGACAAAAATCTAATAAATAAATGTAAACAAATGACCAGCAGCACGCAAATCAGTGAACAACAGATGATTAGACAAAAAAAAAACAATTCTTTCAGATTGAGCAAACAAACGCACAAACAAACAAATGGACAACAAATTTTGTACCACATTAAATTGGTCAAAGAAATGAACTAATGGACAAACAAACTGCCCATTAAACAAGCAAACAAACAAACTTACTATAAAATGAGTGAACATTTAGACAAACAACTCATAAAAACAAATGAAAAAAAATGGACTTCAGATTTTTGGTATAACTTTATAAATCCATTAGGAATGACACATTAGATTTATAGAAATATAATTGAATTCAATTTCCCCCACTAGCATAACACGTTACAAGGAAGAAAAAAAGAAAGAAATGAAAGCAGGAATTTAAACCCCTACACTAATCAAGCACTGTGCGTTTGAGAGCACATGTCGTTTAGCATTTCGCATGAACCGAGCCCAACACATGGAGCAGTTCTGCCCATCTGACCCGTCTTCATCCAGGGCTGGGTGAGGGGAGGAGGGTGGGGGGTTGGCCCCGCGGGTCTCCCCTCGCTCACAGACTCTCTGGTCGGAAAGCACAGATTGCTGCCTCTGCCTGAGGCGTCTCTCAGCCTCCAGCACATTTACCCCGCTTACACTCGCCTTTCATTCACCACTAAAGCAGATGGCAACGCGCCTCAGTCCTGCTATTACAAACACTGCAAAAACTCCAAATAATTCCAATATAGACATGCTGGAATAGGCATACGGAGGGAAATAAATGATAAAGCTAAAATAGTGTTGTTTGTGTTACATAAATGCTGATTTATGCTGCAATAATGCTGGGTCTGTGTGAGCTTTAGATTTATGAGAATTATTATATATAATGTGTGTACATATGTATAAAATATAAATAAAATTTCACATTATCATTAATCTGACTTGAAATATAAGTTATTCTAAGTACTACAATCTTTTAATCTATACAAACATGGCAAAAATAGTCAACTGTGAAATCTTTAGATAAAATGAAAGTGAAAACAACTCAAAATATTAACAAAATGGTGCTCAAGTGAGCGTGTGTGTGTGTATCATTATTATTTAGTTTGGTGTTATATTTATTTTAGATATTATATGATTTAATAATATATAAAAATTGTGCAAACTCTATGTATATATACCTCTACATATAGGTAAATCTGTTATCTACCACTTTTCATTAAAAGAATAATAATAATGATCTGAAAATTATGTGAAAACTTCCTGGGGTCTCAGAATGCCTAAACCTGAGCTAATATTTTTCACGCATTCAGAAGGTTTGATGGATGTTCTCAAGTTACAGTTTTGCCAGCTCTCATTAGATTAGGAAAAGTCAAGAAGAATTAACCTGACACTTCAATGTTAATGTTTCTCGAGATATTAAAAGTGCCTTAGGGTCTCTCAGACCCCAAACACAAGGGTTAAAACCAACCCCTCTGATACCTTTCTTCAGTTGTGTGCCTGGTGGCCGAGAGAGATACAGCTTGGATCCGGACCCTCTTCATCCCCACCCTGTAAAACTACTCATTCCACTGCAGGCTACGCCACGGAGAACAATAGCACCGACCATCTCAGACACAACGCTCTTTTACAATTACCACAAGAAAAGGAGTTGTTTTCTTACCCACACCCCTCCCTCACGCTCTCCCCTTTATTCCCTATGTTCCTTTCTTTAGCCCATACTGGTGCTGACAACATGGATACAGAGACTTTAGGCCTTCGGGCTCTTGCTAATTCAAAGAAAAACAAGCTCCGCTTCTTTCCCAGGTCTGCAGTGAAGGCTGGGTATGTTTTAACAGGGCTCCTTCTGTGACTCACTTTTGGGAAAGAGAATGTAAAAGCAACGTCCCACAGAAGAACACATTTCGTCTTTAGGCCATATCCATATGGACAAATGAAGCTGGATGCGCTGCACGCCTTTCAAAAGCAAACTCTTCTAGAAGAACAAATTAAGACGATGAGCTGGGTCTTTAGGTGCAGTCGCATGTTGTTGTTCTGTGCCATTTTGTGGGCGAAATACAGTCGTTGGAAACGCAGCGTGTGGGATTGAGAGTTTGACATGAGGGCGAAAAGTACAGAGAGCAGATTTCACTTGCGCTCAACTTGGTTTTGCCAATTTTTAAAAATCGAGTCATTCCAGTAGGAACTGGAATCAATCAATGCGATAGAGTTTCACATGATGGTTAAAAGATCGCACAGATTTTGCATTAGTTCAAGCTGGTAATGCAGATTCATGAAATCTAGTCATTCCTGCAGTAATTTGAGAGATTTTAAGTTTTAATGAAGTCATAAGGTTCACCAGGCAGATTTAACCAAACAGATTTTGCTATGTTTAAAAGTCCTATGAAGTGCTTTGAAATGTGCATTATTTTATTCGATGTTTGACTGAATCTCAACTTGACAACAAAAATGAAGCACAGACAATAGTGTTGTTTGTCTCATAACTCTGCAAATTGAGTGATTGAGCTCAAGCGCATCAAAAGAAAAGCGCCTTGAAGGGCCAGAGGCATGTCAGATACTAGAGAACATTTGATTGGTCAATATTTGACAAGAGACTGAAGGCGGAAGTGACAAACTGCACAACAATATCCTCCAGGTAAAATTTACTCCAATTAAATGTTATTTGGTCCCTCTCTAAATTGAGTTAAAGTTACTCAAGTTAATGAGACAAAGGATTAATTAGGTGGTGGTTGAGCACTGATGATGAACACCTTCTGTTAATAAGTGGAAACACAGAAGAAAAACACAAAACTACAACTGACTTGAGTCATAGCCTTAGATGAAATCAGCTGAAAATATAATGAATTGAATCTCTCAAAATCTCAGCAGAAGATCATTAAGCAACTCCACAAACAGCAGCTTTACTTGTTACCAACCTGTTTGCCTTTAATTAAAGAGGGACCAAATACTCTCTGAACTGAGTAAATTTTACTGTGTGCAAACTTTGGGTGTTTGTAATGGAATGTATTTATGTAGTTCATTTATGGCCATACACTTAAAGCACTTCACAATTATGAAAGGGGGTCTCTTCACACCTCAACCAGTGTGCAGCATCCATATGTATGATGCGATGACAGCCACAGGACAATGGCACAGGTGTTCTCTCTACACACCAGCTATTGGTGGAGTGGAGACACAGAGATAGAGCACACTCTGTGGATGGGGATGATTGGGAGGCAATGATGGGTAGGGGCCGATGGAGGGAATTTAGCCAAAACACCAGGGTTACACCCCTACTATTTATGAGAAATGACATGGTATTTTTTAATGAGCTCAGAGCGTCAAGATAATCCGAAAGTTGGTGCTCACTGCCAGTATAGTGTCTCTTGCTGTCTTCACTTCCAACAGCAACCTAGTTTTCCCATGTGTTCTCCCATCCAGGTACTAACCAGGCTTAGCTTCAGTGAGTAACCGCTATTAAACTTTTATATTTTCTAAATATAGCTAGCCTATAGATATCCTTAAAACTAACAGACTGAAACTAGCATTACTTTCATTTCACGAGACATTTAATTTATTCAGGCAAATTCACAAAATCCAGACTACCCAAAAGGAGTGGTGCGATTATAAGAGTTTCACATGAGGGCAAAAAAGTTCAAGATGATCAATCAAATCTGCAAAATCCCAATTATTCCAATGATTAGGCCTCTTGTGAAATTGAAAATCTTTTCTGAGTATTTCCCAACTGCTGTTTAATAGGGGAATTTTTTTACAATATAAAAAAGACAATTTCTTTTCTCTTTGCCATGATGGCAGTACCTAATGGTATTCCAATATACTAGTATTCAGCTGTTCAGTGCACTTCTCATATAATTCATGTTTATTTCTACATTGCTTTTATAATGTACATTGTGTCAAAGCAGCTTAACATAGAAGTTAAAGCTGAAACTGTGTCAGTCCAGTTTTCAGAGTTAAAGTTCAGCTTACAGAGTTCAGTCATGAAAAACCTGGAAAAGCCATGGAATTTTTGCCTGAAAGTTTTGGAAAAACAGAAAAACCCACAAAATTTTGGAAAAGTCATGGAAAACAGATATCTGTATACTTGAATATAGGTTAGTTGTTCTTACTTCTTTTCTGTCTTTGGCCAATAACATACTTTCACATTATTAGTGCAGTGTAAGCCTTATCTAAATCAATTTTATATAGGTATAAATATAGTTTAAACTGAAGAGACATTTATAGACATTGCATGAAACATTAGATCATGAAAATGGACTTGAAAGTCTTGGAAAAATCATGGAAAATGTATGGAATTTTAGTAGTAAAAATGTGTATGAACCTGAGTTTTGTTCAGTTCAGTGTGGTTTAAATTTCACTGCTGGAAGTCCAAACACTGAAGAGCAAACCCATCGATGTGTAGCTCCACAAGTCCCAAACCAAGCAAGCCAGTGGCAAGGAACAAACTTTACCAATTCATCATCTTGGAATTATAAGGTTCTATCTGCGTTCTCAATGATTTTGAGATATTGAGCTTTAAAATTTTTGCATTCCATGTAGATAACAGTATGTGTGTAACATTCATCAAAAGCCTTAAAATGGAAACAACTTATGAAAAAAACATCCCATAATGTAAATAAAATGTCATTTAATTAGAATGTCAACAACAAAAAATGTCAGATAGAACCTTTTAATTCTAAGGTGACGAATTGACAAAAGTGAAGGGAAAAAAAACCTTGAGAGAAACCAGGCTCTGTTGAGAATGACCATTTCTCCTGTCTTTAAAGGCTAAACTGTGTTGATTAGGTGATTTAGGTAAATTAGCCAATTTGTTGGACAACAATTGTTTGTTCTGTAGCCAATAGGAAAAAAATCTATAAATACTGTTTTTATTCCAGCCAAAATAATAAAAACTTTCTCCACAAGGAGGTTTGGCCAGAGGAAAAATGGTCTTGCCCAACAGAGCCTGGTTTTTCTCGTTTTTTTTTTCTTACATCGTCAATTGGTGAAGTTTGTTCCTTGCCACTGGCTTGCTTGGTTTGGTAATTGTGAAGCTGTGCATGGATGGATTTGCTCTTCAGTGTTTAGACTTTTAGCAGTGAAATTTAAACCACGATGAACTGAACTAAACTAAACTTCTACTCTGAAACCTGGATTTTACAAGAACTTCTATGTTAAGCGGCTTTGACACCATCTACATTGTAAAATTGCTACAAAAATAAACAAGCATTTAATTGAAGAAAAAATATTATAGAAAATACTGTGAAAATTTCCTTGCTCTGTTAAACAGCACTTAAACAGAAAATATTTTGTGACTGTAGGAATAGCTAAATGTTTTGTCAAATAGAGCTGCTGCTTTATATTTCTTTTATCAGTGTTTCTCAACCACGTTTCTAGAGGATCACCAGCTCTGCCATGTCTGCAAACACAACTGATTCATATCATCAACTCATTAGCTGAGACTGAAAGACCTGACAGACAAAAAAGACAGTTCCTCCAGGAACATGGGTGAGAAACACTGTATTATATTAGTATGTTAATATCTATTAAATTAAGGGAAGTTATTTTGTAGTCATTCTGGCTTCAAGTTGATTTATAGACTACAGAGCTGATCCCAGCACTGGCTAGCAGTGGTTGGGTTTTGGCGCTCTCTATCACAGGTCAGGACACGATGTGTTCTGATGGGCGAAATGTGAAAAGTTCAGCATAATGGGATCTAATGGTGTGCTTCTGTGCAGTTACATATTTTATGTGCTGTTATCAAACGGTCTCGCGCAGCAGAGGAAAGCTGCCCACGGAGCCTGAGGCCGCAATGACTAGTCTCACCCTAATTAATCCCATTGACACAAATACCTTTACCCATCTGATTTTTGACTGAGGCGGGAATAATACTTCACCAACTTATCTGCAGCCATTGAGAAAAAAAGACTCTCAGCTATGCGTGTTTGAAGTCAGAGAGTGTTTATTTCACACTATTTTGAGTCCATATTTAAACTTTACCTTAGGCGTTAGGGTTTATTCTTTTTTCATTCTGTATTTCGTTTATTTTGATTTGGTTTTAATATGTTTGAAATTCCCAGGCCAATTAGTATGTAATGACATTTTCAATAATAATATTTATACAATTTATTTCTGTTGGCAATATTCATTTTGTATTTTATTTGTATAATTTGATGTTTTATATTATATTATTATAAACTATTATATAATATTTTTATATGCTATTATTATATTATATTATTATATACCATGCTATTATATTATATTATATTATATTATATTATATTATATTATATTATATTATATTATATTATATTATATTATATTATATTATATTATATTATATTATATTTTTATGCTGCAGATAAGTGTGTCTGAATTAACTACATTTAAAGTAAAAAGTAATCCCCAACATGTACACCAAGTGTGTTTTAAACTTTTTTTTAAATTGCTTTATAATTTAACACTGTTAATGTATGAATTTGAAATGTACTAATATAGCTAATATATAACTACTAAAAGCATAGTATAAATAATATTAGACAAAATAAAAGTTATTATTAACTCTGTGTGTTTAAATGTTAACTTTTCCTTCGACTTTAGTTTGGTTGTATTTTATTTTGGAATTTGGTATTTTACTTGGTGTTATTTTTTAAACCAAGGTCAAAAGTTTTAATGCAAGAGAATTTGGCTAGACAACTTGTCTGAATGCCATTCTTTTCCAATAAAAATATTAAGGAATTTCTCAGAAACAATGTCATACGACAAATATCTCAAGTTTGAGACATTTCATCTCCAGATGAACCCACTTTGTCAGAAGTGAATTTAAAATGGTAGAATAACATGAGTATTCAACAAACCTCCAGAAACATGTGCCATTTTTTAAAAATACAGCTTATTCCAAACACATGGTGTGGACCTAATGTTAAATTGGTTGTTTATATTCATTATAGTTTTCTGTCTTCCATTAAAAACCCAAAATGATGTCCTAATTTACTCCTCCTAATTTACTCCTCCTCCGTGTACAAACCTATTTGAGTTTCTTTTTTATTTTCTTCCACAAATCATGATGTTCTAATGAATGCTGGGAAAAAATTCTTTTTTTCTCTTTCTTCCTACTATGGTCCTCAATAGCTGTTTCCAGCTAACGATTTTTATACACATTTGGAAATGCTGAATAGAAATTCTCAATGGAAATTCCAACATGCACATACATTCTGAAGCTAAAACATTTTTGAATAATATTGAAAAATATTGAATAGATTCCAGCATGCGCCTCAAAAATGTCATGTGATTTTGTTTGAACACATCATGGGATAAAATAGAAATGATAGGACAGCATTAATGGATAAACCAGCCAACCAATCACACTGTAAATCATCTGAAATGTTGTTTTGGTCATTCTAAAATCTCTCAGCCTACAGTCTTTCATCAAAGTGGTTTAGTACTGTTACCCTCAAGAACCTTCTTGATCATCTATGCTCCCAAAGAGTGATCTCGTTCCACTAAAAACCGCTACGCATTCACTGAATTTCGTATTTCATGTAATTCATCATTTAAGAAAAAAGGCCCACAGTGGCTCCCTCTACTATAGCAAATTCCATTTGTGTTTTTGATATCTGGCGCCGGTTTATCAGGAAGTGTCGATTCTTGTTCCCTTGGATGGAAACAGTGCTTTATTAGCAAACGATTTATGCCATATTCCAACTTTTCGCATAAACCTAATTAGCATTTTTGGATTGAAGCATAGCTAATGGCGGCTTTTTTAAACGTTCTTTAGAATATCTGAATATTTGAGCTGTGTGCTGCTCACTCAGCAGGGACAAAGCTCCACTTTGTCACAATCTTGTTTTTTGTTCAACAGAAGAAAAACAGTCTAAAACCACATGAGTGTGAGTCAATGTAAATCTCTTTAATGTGTTTGGAGCGGATTGATGTGATGCAAAAAAAAAGGAACTAAATGAAATTTTGGACTTGCGCAGATTACCTTAAAGTCCTCAGGAAGAAGCAGTTTGCTGGTTCTCAGGTAGCTCAGGATGTAGCGGAATATCTCTCCATCTCGGTCAATAAAGTAATGCTGCTTCAGACTGTCCAAAACAATCGGTTCGGTGCCGTTAAACAGACGACTGATTCTGAGGGGAGAAGATTGGAGATCAATGAATGTTCTTTGCTTAAATACACAACATAAAAAAGTTAATTGAATATTTTTTTTTATGATAAGGCTCCATTAAAAGGATAGCACACCCAAAAAATTTTGATGTTATGAACAATTGTTGATTTCAGTGGTACACTGTAAAACCCAACAGTCAACTTTATCAAATGACATGTGTGTAGTTCACTCAAAAAAATTACTGAAAGTGAATTCTACTCATTTGAAAAGAGTTTTTCAACTCAGTGTTGAAGGTAATGAGTTAATTAAATACCTCATTACTCTAGCTTAAATGGAGTAAGTTCACAGTACTCATATGGATTAGTTTTTTTACTCAAATGGTTTGTAGCTATCGGTTTCCTCAAATGGTTTGACTTGCCTTAACTTATTGGGTTTTACAGTGCTCATTTGGTTTGAGTTCTCTTCATTTATTGGGTTTTACTGTGCTCAAATTGCTTCATCTACTCAAATTGAGTAAATTCACAGTACTCATTAGGATTAGTTTTTGAACTTAAATGGTTTGTTGCAATTGGATTCCTCAAATGGTTTGGTTACCTTTACATTTTGTGTTTTACAGTGTAGGAAGAACAAATACAGTGTTAAAAGTTACCGGTTTCTGTCTAAATATCTTCTTGTGTGTACAACAGAAGAAAGTCAGACAGTTTTGAAACAAGTAAATGATGACAGAAAATTCTGTTTTGCGTGAACTGTCCTTTTAATCTAAAGCATGATCAATACTTGTACAGCATTTAACAATAATAATCATACAATCAACATTATTCAAATCCAAAGTTTATTGACTGTTACCAATTTTCTCGTTAAAAAAACACCATGTTACATTTGAAATAAGTTGGAGAAGTTGATTATTTAACCTGATTTAATTGCTGGAATGAGGTCAAGCTTTTTGAATGATGTCGTCCGCTATTTCTGTTCTTGGGATAAATCGACTTTATCTTAGCGAAATGTTCTTATTTCATTCTCTCATCCTATTTCATTCCTCCATTCTTTCATTCTCTCTCTCTCTCTCTCTCTCATTCTGGAAACCGATGCAAAACACTTAATAAGAAAACCAATTCCCCCTTTTGTGCCTCGGGTGCTCCTTTTCTCATATGGTCTTGCCGTTCCCCCAGTTAGAATTTCACCATATAGCTTTAGGCAATCTTAGTTTTTCATCTCAGCTTCTTTTTTTTCCCTCCAAAAAGCAATTAAAATGCTGCCTGCTTTTCACCCTCCCCCCATTTTCCTCTCCTCCCTCCTTCTCGTTGCTCTCTCGCTCCATATCCATTAATAAATCAGAGCGAGCCACGCTCTCTGCTAACCTGAACAGATGTGGCGAAGCTCTCTCGCGCTTTACCCAACACACACATGCTCTTTTCTAACAGGTGGCGTCCGTTTAACTCTCTTTATCAATGGCTGGCATTGATGCAGCAGGTAGCAATTGCATGACTCTACAAGTGGTCACAAAACATCTACTTTGAGTCATTTAAAAGTGCATACACAAAATGAAGCACAAAATTACAAGATATTTACGCAACACCACCCCCCCAAAAAATATTCAAACTTCGAGTCATCTTACCTGGAGTCTGGGTATTTGGTGAGGGTGGCCAAACTGCTGGTGTACATGTGTCCGCCTACGTCAATGTGGACTGGAGCGTTGGATTTAGTGAGCTGAGCCGGCAGTGGGATTCCCTGAGCGGCCAGAGGAGACACTGGGGACCGGGTCAAAGACAGCCGAGACATACTCCTTCCCTCCTGTACAAACAGCACAGTGTCAAATAAACAGCTGCCGGTTGAGTCTCCGAGATCTGAGGTGCGACTCTGGCCTGCAAACACGATGGAGATCACTTCCACATCTTCCCTTAAATTGGGTTTTTTACCTTAAGAATTAGCACCACAAGTCTAATTAAGAAAATTTGCCTGCCGTTTTTTCCCCCCTCCTCCTTTTTTCATAGAACCGGAGGGAAGAAATGGAGTGATGCTTATTAGCGAGCACGAAAGCAAGAGAGGAGGAGAGAGAGAGAGAGAGAGAGAGAGGGATGGATGGATCCTAGTACTGTAGGTGTCTACCTTCAGGGAAAGAGAGGGGGAAAAGTGTAAACTCCTAATTAAAGATATTGGGTGAACATGTGAGACGCAAAACACCTCTTCTCCAACAGCTTTCTGTAAAAGTTTCTGCGAATCAACATTTTGAAACCAAAAACGAGGATAAATAAGACTTGTTTTCCCATAAGGCCAAGTATTACAATCTAACGGTGTTAAAAAGTTACTATGTAACATTTAAAAACTTTACATTTAATTAGAGAGTGAGCATCATGCTTGACTGCTGTTGTGGCATGAATCAACCTTTTGTTTGGAGAAATGAACAATCCTGCCTAAACAGATGGTTAAAGTCCCATTTCTGGAAGCACAATGCCTGGAGCAAAGTCTGCCCATAGTTGTACGTCAAAGACTTGTGGACTGTGTCTAAGCCTTTAGATTTATCTATGAAAGGCCAAATAATGTAAATGTATCCATGTTTTAGCTATAGTTGCATTTAAAGCTACTGAAATTAATAAGTTTAATAATATAAAGATATCTTAAAGACTTATTTTGAAACTAAACAGGATTTACTTACGAAAAAATGGACTCGCAGCATAACAGCTGACAAAATGTGTATTCAGTATGTTAGTGTTCATTCATTTGAATTATATTTGATTAAAATTCTGACTACCACCAAATAATTACATGGGAAAAATAGATTTTCAATTTCTTCTATGTGAAAACAAACAATCATAACAATCAAATGACTCTTAATTTGAGCTGGTTCTTATCATGAGTCACTTAAAAAGTCGAATTCATCGTATTTGTTGGTCAACAAATGATTTCTGACCTGAATAGCAGTGTCCAGAAAACTGACACACTTTTCACATTAGCCAAAAAACTGCTAATTTTATTTTGTATAAAGACATGAATGTTGGATCATTTTTATCAAATGTCATTAAAATGTTATTAAAATACTGTGAAACAATTTCAAGAATGCAAATTTCAAATGTTAAGATCCAAAAGACAAACAAAATGAAGCCCATGCATTCCAATGATGAACAAATGACTCTTATGAGTCGTTTTTTTAATGAGTCACGCAAATCTGTTGAATTCTTAACTGAATGAAAAGTTTGTTCATAAAAATCAATATTAATAATACTTGAACACTACGTTAATAATAAGCTACAATATTAGCTAAACATTTTCAATTGCATCTAAAACATCAGGTTTTATTTTTTATTTTTTTGTATCCCAGGTGTGAGCAATAAATCATTTTCAATTTGAACTTAAAAAATTGTCTACCAATAAATAAACATTTCAAATAAATTTCTTATAAATTACGAAAAATCAAACACAGCCTGACAGGTTGCCTGTAGCACAACTCTTATGAGCCAATTCTTTTAACGAATCACACAAAAGATTCATAACTTAGAATCAACGTGTCAAATTATTCAATGAATGAACGCTGAATTTGTCAAGAACGGTTTGAATCAACATCTCAGTCAATGAACTGCAGGTTATTATGGTTAGTTTAAGTGAAATTGAATAATAGAATTAATATATAAAATTTACATTTTTGTTACTAAAAAACATCAATTAATCTTCAGAGTCACGGCTAAAGACATTATATTAATTATAAAATTGTTTACAACTTTTACAAGGCTATATGTTTTAATTTGTCCTTATCCATTCGTTCCTATAAGACTATACTGCGCCACAGTAATAAGAAACCCATATTTCAAAAGCAGTAGCAGTTTAGAAAAACGAAGTAACGACTCCTGGGAGCCGAATCTTTCAATGAGTCACTCAAAAGCCTCATAACTTGGAATCAGTCAAACACCAAATGCTTCATTCAATGAACAGACATTTTCAGAAAGGGTTGAATCAACAACTGACTAAAATACGAACTGCATTTTTAGTGAGTAATGTCTAATGTTATATATATATATATATATATATATATATATATATATATATATATATATATATATATATATATATATATATAACGCTTCAATAGTATGAACATCATGTCATGACTTGAAAAGCTAACTATTGATGTTTGTAGTGAAAAGGAATATGCCGCTACGAGCGAGTGCAAAGTAAGATCTCATCAAAGTCCGAAATAATAGTTGATGATAACTGCGCCAGGTCTCAGGCGTGCGTAAAATAGCCCTACAACTCTATGTACCGCACTTCCTGTACGCAATGGGCATACAGTAGTGCTCTGACCTCTCATTGTATACCCAAATCAGCCCTCCCTGATCTAAAACTGCAAAAGCACGACACACTGAGAACGAATGCAATAAAGAGAAAAGACTCGAGAATTTGACAGAATCTGTACCGTACCGTTTCAAACATTTTAGGATGTCCGACGCAATCTGAGGAGGATTCTCCGATGAAGCTTGCTCGTCCTCTAGAAAGAACTTTTGGTAATATTTTCTCCAAGAGCTCTTCGTACAGAATCCGTTCGGAATCCAGCGGAAATCTAACGCCGGTGCGAACGCAGCGCTATATAGGTCGCTGTGGCTTTAAAAACTCGCCTAAAACACAGACTGCTATAGACACTTTCCACAAAAGCTACACAGGGGAGTCAGTCAAGGCTGCGTCCTTACCTTGGAAGACATAGCTGTAAATGTATCTTCAGCCCTCTTTAAAACATGAGATCGATGGTGGCGTGTCTTAGCCTCGCTTTTTTTCTTTCTTGCTCCTTTTTTGTTGAAGCGTGAGAGTGCGTTGAAGGCACAGCGTTCCAGCCCGAATAACAGAGGACAGCTGAACAAGAATTCTTGCTCAAGGCTCTCCAAACGCCCCGGGGCAGGATTAGGCTACAATTAGCTCAACCCTGCCTGAGCTGGGGCGAGTTACAAGAACAACATTTGATCTTGCTATTCGCATTTGGGAGGATGCGTATGTGTGTCTTTTCGTCGCATTTATCGTCATTTATTTATTCATCGTCTGAACAAAGATATGATGAGCGCGCGCGCGTGTGAGGATAACGGTTTACCTGTGTGCATGTCTTTGGCTAACCTTCAGTGGGAAAAAGAAGAAGGCTGTTGTTTTAAACCACTTTACCCACATAATATACTGTATTTTCTAACTACGAACGTCTTTTTTGATTGATGTTTCTATTTTAATGGAAGAATTAATTTGCTTCCAAACGTGTCTCTCGGCGCCCTAATAATGTTCTGCTGGCCATGAAAACTAAATGACGTATATCGATATGCATTGTGCCTCTGCAAAGGCGCCCACACAACCGCCTCGGGCCAAACGCGCCATTTCAATTTTTGCGCGCGGCTAGATAGAGATGTCTGCCTCGATGGCACACAGCTTTCAGGTGGAAAGACGGGCGCATTGTGCTGAAAAGGAAAGGCTTTAACAAAAAGCATATTTGACAGTTTTAGACCCTTTTAATACTACTCTCCATCTCTTGGAAATGCCCTGTGCCTTAACATCTGGCGCCAACCAGTGACCAAAGTGAACGCAGCCTACAAACGGGTTTACAGCATTTCCACAACGAATATATTCAGAGTTCTGTATGAATATAGGTTTATGTCGACGCTTAGAAAAAGGTAAATTGAAATAGGCTAAAAAAATACAACAGTTTTAGAAACAGTAAAATAAAAATAAAAAAATACAAGCTTTAATGTTTGTGGGACATTTAAAGTCAAATGAGATAACTACACATTTAAATCATGGGTCTCAAACTGAATTCCTGGAGAGCCGTAGCTCTGTTTTGCTCCAAATCTAATAAAACACACCTGATCCAATTAATCAATGTGTTCAAAAGAGTCTTGATTAATTGGATCAGGTGTGTTTAATTAGAGTTGGAGCTAAACTTCAGATGTGCGGCCCTCCAGGAATTCAGTTTGAGAACTATATAGGCTATAATTTAAATAAACGTTTCATGACCTAAAAGTCGCTTTTATGTGCGTTCTTGTTCTTGTTTGGAATTTTAAAATCATATAAATGCTTCAAGGACACCAGAATTCATATTTCAACACATTTGACACTTGCAATGTTGTCCCTCTGGAAATGTTTATTCTCTACCTTGACATCTGGCGCCAACCAGTGACCAAACCTACCACAACCGTTATTATTTTTTGGCCTTTTTTAAAATTTAGTTTATTATTTAATTTGCAATGAGTTAATGTATAACAGGATAATGGTTAAAAGTAAAAAACAGGGGAAAACACTGTAAAAAGATGCAGGCTTCCACACAATTCCTTCCTGTTGTCCCAACAAAAGTCGAATAAGTTAACATCATTGTTTTTGCAAATTTAAGTTAGTTGTACGTAAAACAATTAAATTGTCCCAAAAAGGCTTAAGAATTGTCGATTAAGCTCATTTCAAAAAGTAATTTGAACAACTAGTAAAAATATGTTTTTTTTGTGATAACAAAACGGTTCCTAAAACTGACTTTTTAAAATTAAAGATATAGCATTAATGTTCATGAAGAACATTTATTATGGGCCCTTTTTATTCTACAAGATTCTTTACTTAAAAAAATTATAATGTTTGCTGTTTGTCCAAACAATTAATTTAAAATGAGCTCAATTCTTGAGTTTTGTTTTTGGGACAACTTAATTATTTTATGTTTAATCCACTAACATTTGTAAAAAACGAATACATTAACTCAGTTCCCTTATGTTGCCCCAACACAAATCGATTTTGAGGAACCCAGCATTTTTACAATGTGGAAAGGTTATAATGGATTCTTCTGATTATGAAAATGTTCATACAGTACATTAAAATGGTTCTTTGAAACACTTGAGATCACATGAAATGTCTTTTCTTGTTCTTCCTGAGACCTTAAGACGTCTTAAACGTTTGAACTAGTCTATCTGTGCCTATGTTTAAGATGAGATGAATAATTTGATTTTAAAAAGAAATATATTAAAATGAAACCTGAACATCGAATTAAAAAGATGCTAACAAATCTAAGAAGCTTTTTTTCTGTCACATTTAATATTTCGCGACTACCTTAAACACATAGCACGAATCGAATGTTATCACCTTTAACATAATAGCCCACGTTCTCGAGTGAAAACACAGTAAAGCAAATCTGTTTGTATACAGGGATATGTTGCAAACTATTTGGACTTAACAACCGATTTTTTTCTCTCGCCTTTGGCTCAAATTAGTTTCCCACATCAGACGAGCAGCAGGAAGACAAGATATTTTTGTTCAATTAAAGGAACAAGCCCGGAGTTAGTTCAATTACTTGACGCTGGAGGAAGATGTAAATTTAAAGATTTAAATAGCTTAGAATGTTGCCTCGAGCGCCCGCACTTCATTTCCTTAATTTACAGAGAGATGAGGGGAGTAATGGTTATCCCAATGATGTGCATCATGCCAACAAACTATATATCCGAGTAACACTTACCATCCCTGGTCTTACAGTCGAGTTTAACAAAACAGCCCGAAGACAGAGAAACTAAAACGACCTGAATAAAACCAAATCGAAAACTTTCTCAATTCACGTGAACTAATTTCGCCTCAGTGACATTAATATTAACATTCTTCATTTATAACCACTAATAGTGTTTAAATTATGATAGTTATAATATTTTATGTATATAGTCTAATATGGTAAATTATTACACCATTTTCACAAGAAAAGACATTTGTAAGACTCGTGTAACATTCATAAAGGCGTAAATGATACATATTTTCTTTAGCATGCGCTCTCTCTCTCTCTCTCTCTCTCTCTCTCTCTCTCTCTCCGCGCTCCTCGTTGAATCCGCAGCGCCATCTGGTGGTCGGGACTCGCAACGTCAAACATTTCTCGCCCCTCTCACCTGAAACAACTTTCCACGTTTCTGATGCTGTTGCATTTTGTCTACACTTCTTCCACTAATTAGATTTTCCAGAGTCTTTTTGTAATAACTTAATTTCTAAAAGTTACTTCAGAGCTTATTCTCCTGCCTCCAGCTTCTTTCCGTTCCCAAACCCAATCATACGCGGAGAGACTAATTTTTCACCCCCACCTCCCCACCTCCTTTTTAAATATGATTTCGGTGCTGAAGAAAGAGAAATGAAGATTTTCTTTGTTCTGTCTTCCACGTGACAAATGGTAGCTGATTTGATGTGCCCTTTGAGTCAGTAGATTGTGAGAGAGAACAGGATGTCAAAGCCTCGGGCTCTGCGAGATAAGGAGGGGGTAACGAGGGGGTGGAGCTAAAAAAGCCGCAGTTGCTCCGGGCGGCGCGGGACTTATTGGAGTGGGAGGACAAGATGTAAAGATCAACACCAGTTTTGACTGCTGCAAGGGGGGTTGCTGCTTTTGTTTCACCAAAAAAATAAAGGATACATACATAGTTTATATCCACATCTGGATACATAGTTTAGCCAAAATGGGCTTAGCTATATACAGTATATAGAACTATTGATTTGATTTTGAATTAGCTAATAATTGGGGTGACCAGACATTGCTATATTTTCTTACAAAAATCTAATTTCAGCAACATTTTAGTGTCCTCACTTGCTATGAAACGCATAAAGGGAAAACCAAAATTAAATCCTGCATTGATGATAAATTGAAGTCTTAGGAAGCGACCTCCTGTGCGAGAAAGTGACCATTATGAACTACATTAAAGTCCACTTGAAATCTCAATTTACTATATTTATTTTGCTACAACGTATTCAATAGGTGAACTGTTAATCCATCCAAGTTAATCAACTGAATTTTTTTGTTTGTTTTGGTAATCATCAATCAAAGTCTGACCATTTGGTCTTGTGTCCGTTTGTCAGCCATAATATCCTACAACCGTTAATGAGTATGCTATGAGGGAGTAGCTGCATTTCCACTGTCCGACCAGTACATCCCTGTCAACATTGGGATGAAAAAAAAGGATATGCCCACCATAACCCCCTCCCCCCTCCAACAACATCAAAACAATTACTAAATATGTTAATCTGTAACTGTTTTATTTTATATAAACAGTTAAACAGTCAGTAATATATTTTATACTATTAATATTTACAAATGAAAAAAAGTATACATAAGCAGCAAATAAATTAGCAAACAGTTTAACTTAGTAAAATTAATAGCTATTATAAAAAAATATCAAATTATTAAATCTTATTAACCTTTTCTTCACTGTATAACTTAAACATTCTCATTAAAGAGCAACAAATGAATCTCTCATTTATCAATTTTTTTTAGTTTGATTACATAAAAATTGCACACATCTGACATTATAATAAAAGCATTCGATTACTTTTTGAATCTTTTGCTCATTTAGGACAAAATTAGTTGAAGAACCCACCAAGATCAACATCTTTAGATGTTATTATTTTTAATGTGTATATGTCTCTTCAAACACGCACCCAAAACCCAGACTTTTGCTTCAAATCGCGTGTATAGAATTTGTTTGAGAAACAGCGTCTATTAATCACTATGGAGCATGTCAGCTGACAGTCACGCACCGCTATATGACTGTTTTGAGGATTGCATAGGAGGGATGAAGGCACCTGTAATGAAATCGAAAAAAGGGAATCTCGCCGTTTTTATATGTATTTAAAAGTGTTTTCATGCCTAAATAAAACGAAAAGCACAGAACAGACTGGCATTTAAGAGCAAGGCGCATCCTCTGGTGGTACGGCTGTATGGGTTGCGTATATTATTGCCACCCTTCATAAAAAGATTAAAAATGCGAGAGAAATACAGGAAAATACCTTGACAGGATGATAGTGGGATAGAATTGTAAAATATGGAAGAATCCTGGCTATGCAGGGCCAACAGCTCGGTAGCATAAGCACTGAGGCCGAAATCATGTCGGGTTTCCACTGTTGGGCCAGTAGCTCGCAGCGCAAAACTTCACCCCCAGAATGTCCCCCAAATCAAACGTCACAAAATCCGCCCTGTTTAGCGGAAAGAAGAAAGCACACCATCGCATCATCACGAAAACATTAAAATATAGACAACCGAAACAAACAAATTACTTGCTACAGCATTACATGATATGCCTATATGCATAGGCCCAGGGCTCAATTTGTGCCGGAACAAGCTGGATTCGGCACTTCTGAAATCTGATCCTGCTCCTCATTTTATTGATCCCCCTCCTCAAATGCTTCTGTGAACAAAACT